AGAGAGAGAGAGAGAGAGAGAGAGAGAGAGAGAGAGAGAGAGAGAGAGAGAGAGAGAGAGAGAGAGAAGAGAGAGAGAGAGAGCGGTGAGGAAAGGGAGGATGATGGTTTGGTGGCTGGTAGGCGATAGCATGCTGGAGAGTATGATGTGTTTGTAGTGCAATAATTCCTGTTCACTTCTGTTGCTGGTGCTGTGGAAGCTGCCTTGGCACTGGCGCGAGTCTGAAACATCAGTGAGTTTGTGTAGGGAATGGACATCGCCCCACTACTCTTGAAATGTGCAAAAGCTGAGTGAATCTTCCCCTCGAACATGGCAAATTCACGGCCATGTTTTCTGTCGTTTTTGCATGTCGTGAGTAGTGGAGCGAGGCCCAGTATGAGATCACTGGGAGGAGGGAAGCGACAGAATTCGTATCGCACTGTCAACTGATACTGATCATTGAGAAGGAAAGGAGACCCATGTCACTAGAGGGGGGTATCTATTTTGTATGCTTCTCAGAGGGGAGGGGGGGGGGGCGGGGCGGGCGCGCAAACAAGGGAAGTAAGCAGTCTTTCTGCAGCAGGGATCCTCAGGGGAGGAAACAAGACAAGAGGAGGAGACGATGCGTATCATCAGATGTGCAAAACAAACGAAGAGGACCTGATTAACAGCCAAAGAAAAAAAAAAAAAAAGAGAAAAGAAAAGAAAAAGCAGCGTCCGTCCATTGCGGCTCCTTCAATCCATGTCAGTCGTATCTCTGTCCCCGCTCTCCCCTCGCGAAGTCTAGTACAGAATCAGATGCCCTCACGAATTCTAGTACAGAATCAAACGCTGTAAGCATCCTGAAGTTTATAAAGGGGAGGGTCTTCGATAATCAAAATGAAATTATATTCAAGAAACAAGGTGTGGTGAGGGGAGGGGGGACGGGGGCGGCCGGGGGGGGGGGGGGGGGAATAAACATGTCGTATTTCGAATTGAATAAACCAGAAAAAGCGCACCGGTTCAGTGAGTGAATCATCAATTTAATAATTTATTGAATTTAATCAAATTGAATTCTATCTGTCCAGTAGCTCGCATGGATTTTGTCACTATTGGCATCTGTAGTTGGGCGGCCGTTTACACTGTCATCGTGACTGTATTGGGGCGTTGCCGCACGGCACACGAAACGAAAAACGAAACGAATGAATCTTCCCACAGAAAATGGCCAGGTTCATCGGTTTGCTATAAGTGGTAACACGAGTGTATTTTGCCACCTTTGTTGGGCAGATGCACTCGTTTCGTTTTCGTTTTGTGTGCGGTGCGGCGAGACCCTTGGACCAGAAACATTGCGTGTATACATTCAAAAAGAGAGGACATTGTTTGTAATCGTTTGATGAAAAACTTGGCCCCGCCCACTTCCATCATGTTCTTGTTTCGTTTTTTGTTTTTTTTTCTCCTTTTTTCTTTTTCGTTCTACCATGTTCTACCATTTCCTGTGAGTAATCTCTTTTTTTCAAGTCCTTCTTTGTGTTTTTTTTTTTTTTTTTTTTTTTTTTTTGTCATATCAAACTGTGACCTTTTCACGGTGGACAAGGTCCCGCGTGCGCTGAAAGTGATGCTCGCTGTCGATCTTCATTCTCTATGCGCAGTCTCTGGTAATCCATGTGCTGAGTGGGATATTTTTCTCTTTTGGACCTTTTCCTTTCTTGTTTTTGTTGTCAAAAAAAACACGAAGCCGTTTTTATTCTGTGGGCATCAGCCCGGTTGCTTATCACCGGCAAGCATATGAGCGGAGGAAGTGCACAAAGCGTTGTCTTCAGAAGAGGGGACAGCCCTACCCTTGCGGTCCTCGACGCCAGTCAAGGGGGGGACCCTTACCTTGCCTTGTTCAACTACTATACTGATACAGTAAGAAGGGGAAAGAGCCGGGGACAAGGTTTGGTTTCTACTTGTGCAATTTTCTACCCAGTGTTGCCAGCGCATGTGTCTCCCCTATAACAGCAATTAACAAAACCCGCTCAAGTGGGGAGAGCACCAATTCAAAGAGAGAAAACAAAATTATAGGAGGATGAAAGAGCAGCAAGAAGTCAGATTAGACACCTACTCTTCCGCCCTCACCACGTGGCCGGGACCAGACGACACGGCCTAGGAGCAGCCAACAAACCCTAGTGACATATGCAACAGCACCTCTCCCCCCCCCCCCCCCCCCCCGGCCCGTCACATGGCAGATACTTGTGATCGTTGTGTGTGCCCATCAAAATACGTAATGGGCAAACGCCGATCGAAACAAGACAGGCGCAGATATGACAATATTACCTGTCGTCAAAAACCAACTGGAAGTCCTATCCCTACCCGACTCCTCGCCACCTCAGTGCGCCTTTCCACACCCCCCATTCAGTAAGCGGCGGTCAGAACAGAGAAGAGAAGGGGGCGAACGGAGAAAAGAACCGTCGCCCGTCCCCCGGCGCACGCACTGCGTTGTTGTTGATGTTGATTTCCCCAGTCCGCCCTGTTGATGATTCGGTCGTTGCTGTTATTGTTGTAATTGTTGTTATTATTGTCGTTGCCGTCATCAGTATTGTTGTTGTAGCTGATGGTACCGCCGATCACGCCAGTGTCAAAATCACCGTTACCAAAACTGGCGGCCTCTGCAATACCGTTGTTGCTGTTGTTGTTGTCATCGGTATTGAAGTTGTTGTTGCTGTTGTTGTTGTTGCTGCCTCTTTTTATCAGCACACGACCGTGAGATCGCACCGACAACAACGCTGCCGGTGTTGTTGTTGGTGGTGTTGTCATGACTGATGATGCCGCCAATCTCGCCAGAATCGCCATCAAAGGGACCGGCAGCAGCAGCAATGATATTGCCGTTGTCGCCAGAATCGCCATGAAAGGGACTGGCGGCAGCAGCAACGATATTGCCGTTGTTGTTGTTATTGTTGATGTTGTTGTTGCTGTTGTTGTTATTGTTGTTGTTGTTGTTTCTGTTGATGCCGATGCATGGACATCCTGCCACTTGCGTAGGTGTTGCGGGTGATGATGGCGGATCGTCCTCCTCCTCCAGATCTAACTGAGCATACCAGTGCTCCATGGACACGGCGCACAGTGCTTGCCCCTCCTCAAAGACTGTGTAGCACTGTCGCATCAAAGTCGCCGCCTGTTGTTGGTCAATAAACCTTGCCAAATAAGAAGCTGGCCGCTCATCCAGCTTCGTAATAATGTGCACAAGGCTCTGCATCATGCTCTGGTGTGTGCCAGTGAGATATGGCAGTGCGTTCCCCCCATCATCCACCAGCCTCATCTCATCCACCTTCTGTTGGAGAAGGTCATGACTCATCTGAAGAAATGAAAGCCACTGGGCGGCGCCCTGAAGTGAAGCCGCAGTCGTGCCCATCGGCATCGTTGATGGTGTTGGGAGGCGCCCTGAAGTAAAGCCTCAGTCGTGCCCATCGGCATCGTTGACCGTGTTGACCCTGTTGACCTTGTCACTGTCGTGGCAAAACCTCCCGTCCACGTCATTGCCTTCAGTATGCCGGCGTTACTGCGTCCTCCAGATCCCATGTGGGGCTAGCTGGCGAAAGCTGGGGCCGGGAACGCTCGAGTCGCGCGGCTATGGTCGCTCGAAGCGGCAACCGCGAGGTTCGTGCGGTGCCTGGCGGGCGGGCCTTGCCGTCCGCAGGCCGCAAGGCCCTAGCGCATCAGTCTCTCTCTCTTCATTTTCCGGAGAGGAGGGCGGACCCCCTTTCCATGCCATGGCCTCCCCGTGGATACGTTTTCTGGCTGGGAAGCTTCCTAGCAGCACCCAGTCACGCAGCAAAAGGGCCCCAGGGGGACTGTCCAAGCATTCTCTCAGGCCGCTCATCGTCCGTCCTTTGTTAACTACTACTACAACCATTACAAAACTATTTCTTGGATATTTTCCTTTTCTTTTCCCTCCTTTTTATCTTTTCTTTTCCCGTCTGTTCAAAGCACCGTAAATGGACCCTTCCCTGTTTTCCTTTTTTTTGTAGGTCTGTTCCGTTCTCGGGGACATACAGTTATTTTCTGCATTTGGTGTGAGTTAACATTTTCGGCGGCTGGTGGGTGATTGCTTGAGCCTGGCGTCCGGAGTTCCCCTCCGATGAGGCTCGTTCGACTCTGCTTCCGCCACCAGGGCCGAGGCCGGGTCGCTACCAGCCCTCGTACCTGTCACTCCTGTTCAGTCCAAGTTCCCCTCGGTACTGGTACACCATCTTCCCCCGAACACAACGCACCCTCATTTTGGCTGTATCTGGCCGGAATACTTGTATACATTCATTTTAAGGGTGCGTTAGACGGTAGGGTAACCGTACGGGTCTCGAGTGTGGGTGGGTCACACTGAGGTAGGATGGTGGTGACAGGTGATGCGATAGGAGTATTGGCGTGAGGAGGGAATGGGAAGGGCAGACCCGTCTCTTCAGGGCAGCCATGGCAGACGGCTTGGGGCAATCAAAGTGTGCCTGCCTGGTACTTGGCCTCTACAACACCCTGGACTTCTTAAAAAAAAACATTGCGGCACTGTGCGGCGGCACTGCGCGCCATAGCCCTGGGGGCAGGTACCATTTTCGTGGGCTCTGCATGCTTGACCGTCGATTAGGAAGATGGATGGCTACAGATGGCGGATAATTTCCGTGAGCAGCAAGATATGTTCAGATGTGAAACGACGCATTGTCGACTGTGCAGTTCTGGTGTGGATGGCTGAGGACACACTTACACAAACACTTTTCTAAATGTATCTGACTGCAATTATGACCAGAGCTGGATGCATCTGCCTGGAATCATGTCCAGAGGTCCATTGAAAAGGTCTTGGTCTGGGGTTAGGGTTAATAACTTAATGAATTGGATCACACCGGATGGTGTGTGCCCGAGCTGTGTATTTGTTTTCCCTTCTTGAGAAAATTTTTGAAATGCCCCTCTGACGGCTGACATACCCTCTCGTGCCCCTGGGCCCTCTAAAGTTGCCTGCAGGCCCCTGTCAGTGAGGGGTGCAACTTGCAAGCGTGCCCCTGTGGCCGTTGGTGGCACTTGCGGCCTTGGGAGGGGTGGCAGGGGCATATTGGAAATTTGGAACCAGTACTGATAGGGGTATATTGAACATATTTCAGGCTCAAACGCCGCCAGGGATTTTCTGGAAACTTCAATTGCTGTCAGAGTGGCGGGACAGGGTACGTTCCCCGTCAGAGGGGCATACCGCAAATAAATGGCGGTTGGAGGGGCATTTCAGAAAGTTCCCCCTTTGTTTTTTCTTTTCTCATCTCTTTCGTCTTTTTTTCTCTTGGTGAGATAGATTTTGGCGGCCGCCTGGTCGTAACCAGTCATGGGGAGCCCTCCCTCTCACATATGGAAGGGATACGAGTCGCCACGGCCGTGTATCTCAAGTGCAGGCTCGTGTGTGTTGCGGTGGCTAGGGAGATGGTGTCGTTGTTTTGTGGGGCGGAAGGAGGGGGGGA